TCTCAGAGTAACAATATTTTGAATAGCATGAAACTAAAAGAATAGATGTTACTTTTGGAGATTTATAGGGCTAATGAGTGAGAATAACTCTATGACCCACTTCCAATGATTTATATGTCATAGGAGTTAGCAATCCAGCCACTGTCTTTCTTAAGAATAAATTGATTAACTAACAAATATCCAGAGAATATATACTGAGTCCAAGGCCTGAGCCAGATGGCCCCTGTTAGGATATATAAAAAAGGATAAGCCCAGCTGGTGTGGCTCAGTGGATTGAGCATCATTCCATGGACTGAGAGGTCCGGGTTCAATTCCTGGTCAGGGCACATGCCCAGGTTGTAGCTCAATCTCCAGTAGGGGGCGTGCGGGAGGCAGCCGACTGATGTTTTTCTCTCACATTGATATTTCTATCTCTCTCTTTAAAAAATCAATAAAAACATTGACCAAAACATTATGCTCAATTAATATTTGACAAAGGTGTCAAGAGCATACAGTGGAGTAAAGACAGCCTCTTTAATAAATGGTGTTGGGAAAATTGGACAGCTATATGCAAAAAAATGAAACTAGACCATCAACTTACACCATACACAAGAATAAACTCAAAAGGGAAAAAACACTTAAACGTGACTCGTAAATCCATAAAAATCCTAGAAGAAAATGTAGGCAACAAAATTTCAGACATCATACGCAGCAGAATTTTCACTGATACATCACCTAAGGCAACAGAAACAAAGGAAAAAATGAACACATGGGACTGCATCAAACTAAAAAGCTTCTGCACAGCAAAAGAAACAACCATCAAAATGGAAAGGGAACCCACTGTATGGGAGACCATAATTGTCAATGATACATCAGATAAGGGGTTAATTTCCAAAATATATAGAGTACTCATACAACTCAACAAAAGGAAGACAACAAACCCAATTAAAAATGGGCAGAGGAGCTAAATAGACACCTCTCCAAACAGGACATACAAATGACTAAGAGACGTATGAGGAAATGCTCAACATCACTAATCATCAGAGAGATGCAAATTAAAACAACAATGAGGTATCACCTCACACCTGTCAGAATGGCCGCCATCAACAAATCATCAAACAAGTGTTGGCGAGGGTGTGGAGAAAAGGGGACTCTAGTGCACTGCTGGTGGGAATGCAGACTGGTGCAGCCACTATGGAAAACACTATGGTGTTACCACAAAAAATTAAAAATTAAACTTCCATTTGACCCAGTGATCCCACTTCTAGAAATATACCCTAAGAAGCCTGAAACACCAATCAGAAAGAATATATGTACCCCCATGTTCATAGCAGCACGATTTACAATAGCTAAGATCTATAAACAGCCTAAGTATCCATTAGTAGACAAATGGATAAAAAAGCAGTGGTACATATACACAATGGAGTACTATGCGGCTGTAAGAAAGAAGGATGTCTTTCCTTTGAGACGACATGGAAGGACCTGGAAAGTATTATCCTAAGCAAAACAAGTCAAGCAGAGAAAGACAAATATCACATGATCTCACTTATTTGTGGAATATAATGAACATAACAGTCTGAGGAATAGAGCAGACAAAGAGACATGGAAGTAGGGTACAGACTGACAGTTCTCGGGAGGGAGGGCTGGGGGGGAGGAAAGAGATAAACCACAGAACTTACATGCATGTACGCATAACTGATGGACATGGACAACAAAGCCTGGACGGGGTGGGAGGGATGGGGAGGAAGGTGTCAATGGGGGAAAAAAGGAGAAACATCTGTAACAAAAATAAATTAATAATAAAAAAATATTTTCAAGGTTGAAGTAGCAAAAAGATGTAAGATCGGAAAATTCAAAAAAGTAACTTCATAAATGTTCCAAACTAAAACATGGATATGATGGCTGGAACCATGGCAGTCATTCTGAGACCATAAGAGGTCTTGAATACAGTGATATGATCAAATCTGTTGTTTAAGGGGAAAAAAACACCTCTGGAGATCACTATGGATAAAGGATTACAGTGACAAAGAACTTTGGTTATATTATTTTCTTTGCATATGAAAGGTGGTAAAGCCTGATCACAGGTTATAGAATCAATAAAATAATTGAGGTTAAAATGAATCCTACAGAAGCAATGTAAGCTGTGATGCTCTGTTATATTAGGGATACCAAGAAGCCTTCTCTGTTTCCACATATTTCCTACACTGAAGGATCTCCTACACTAAAGTTTGAAGTTCTTTTAGTAGAAGCCAAGGCCTTGTGTTCATTCCACAGTCAGAGATAAAAACTAAAAAGTAAATGCTCTGAGGGAATTAACACACTGACTTAAATTCATGTCAACTTGTAAAATACAAGTATCAAATCCATGCCTGAGATCCAGTTTTGATGGGCACTGGGAGAGGAAGGCAGAAAGCCACTTAGTACCTGGAGTTCGAAGTAATTATAAGGAAGAAAATGGGGGGAATCCATAAAAGGGAGGTTATATCTATAGAAGAGGAAATTCAGAGAGGAAGCATTTTGTTTATAAGTACTAGTAAATGCAATTTAATGATTACTGCTTGCTAACCTATAATATTCATAACAAAAATTATAGATGCTGAAGAATATCAGAAGGTTAATCTTATAGCACATGCTGAGGTAAACTATTTACATCTCGAGTAACTGTATTAATATAGAGAAGTGGGGTGAATAATATAAAACAATAAAATTATGTGTATGGTTCTACATGTAGTGATATACTTTCATTTATGATGTATAGGAAACTTCCTGGGAATTTGAGTACAGTTATTATCTCATAAAAATTAACTTGAATACTCACTTATAAAGGCTTATTTATTTACACCATTAATCTCATTCTTTTCCATCTGGGTTAGGCCTATGGTCAATATCACAGGAAACATCTGACCTAAGCAGATCTGAAAGACCTGCCTGTCTAAGCAGATCAGAAGAGACCAAAAAGCTCTTCCACTGACCCGCCATGGTACCTGAAAATTCCAGCAATAGAGTTATTTCTCCTACATGAAGTAACCAGAAGCTGTGTAGCAGGTAATTATTTTACTAGGAGTAACTTTATGCTGATTCCACCTAAAAACATCATGACACAATTGATTAGTTAAGACTGGCTGGCCAGTCTTTGCTAATGTTCTAGAAAGAAAGTATGGTCTGAGTAAGAGTTGATACAGAGGGTAAAGACAGAGGAAACTAAAGGTACTTACCGAGGAAGAAAAAACACATTAGGAGTTCCCTTGAGGACCCTGGGAAATGAATTTCTGGTGTGGAGGGGAAGACCCTGTCACTTCTAGGAAATTAATGAACACCAGAGAGAGTGGTGTGAAATTGTTGACAGATTCTACCTTTGCTGTTTCACATATAGACCCTCTAACAAAATTATGTTGACTCCTCTTGGACAAACAGAACCAAAGCATGATAGTCAAAAAGTGTAGATCTAATTGACAAGGTGAGAAGACACAAGATCAATTGAAATAATCTACAAAGGAGAGAATGAAGTTAGACAAAACAGTTTAACATCATAAAATATTAGATTTCTAAATTATGTATTTGTTCATGTTATACTTAAAATAATTATACTAAAATGTTTATTAGATTGAATGTAATATAGTATCCAGAAATGGACCCTGGAACAGAAAAAATTTTTAGTTAGTTGAAAAACCAGTGAGATCAAATAAAGTCTGCAGTTAATAATATTGTATCAACATTATTTTCTTAGTTTTGACAAATGGTTATATAAGATGTTAACATTCGCACAAGTTGAGTAAATGGTATATGGGAACTCTTTGGGCTATCTTTTTAACTTTTCTGTAAATTTAAATTTATTCCAAAATAAAAAGCTTGTTGAAAATGTTTTTATTAGAATAACTATTTTATATTAAACATTTTAAATTGTGAGTTATGCCAGTGGCTCATTTGGGATCACCATGCCTATAATGCAGAATTCTTTAGAGCCACTAAGTTTAATAGTTTGACTGTCTTCTGAGCAGCCATGGGGAAAGCATTCTGTCCTCTCAATGGCAGAAGTAGTAGTGCTCTTCTCTAATAATGACTTCTGCATCAGGTCTGGATAATACCTCGGGTCATTACACCTCATGTTCATTTTAGCGCACATTTTAAAAGGGGTAATTTCCAGGTTCATGTTTCTTTTGCTATCCAGTAACCAGAGCTGTAATAAATACTTCAGGCTCTGACCATACTTTGTTCAAGAAAAATATTATGCTTTCTCCTTTGTTTATAGTACCTAATATTCCTCGGTAGTTTGAGATTTTTTGTATCAATTTCTCATTTATATTTTATGTGCTATTATCATGTTCCCATACACTTCGTGTATTTCCAAAGAATCATTGTCATAAGCAAGGGGTAGAAAGGTGAAAGGATTGTGGAAATGAACAGCCTTGGTGGTTAAGGAGGATTTTAAGACTGGAAGTGTGGTGCAGGGTCGCCTACTATGGCTGTGAACATTTCCCACTGCAGAGGGCCGGGGAGAGGGGAGGGAGCTGCCAGATTCATAGAATGCAATTCTCAGACCCTGATTTGTGTCCTGGAAATTTTTGCTAGAGACCACTCAACTCGTCAGTGAACTAACACCATTCTCGGGTCCTTCTTTCCCAGTTGATTTTCTATATCTTTTACCGTTTGGTTTTATTGTTGTTTTGTTTTGTTCATACTGCTTTGGTAAAGACAGAGACACTCTATGGTTTCCGCAATCAGTGTGCAAATTCCTCTGAGGCAGCTCATCTCAAAATGTTCCCATTCAAAATGTTAACTCCTGAGGCACACACTCCACACCCAACTGACAACGGCGTTTCCGACTGCTTTCAGGTAAACAGAGACTACCTTCCTCCGTCTCCTGGGGGCGCACCACAAAGCGCATGCGCTGTCCCTTGCAAGTACGTTTTACGGCGCATGCGGCTTTCCCGTGGGAACGTGCAGAGGTAAATAGCGTCAGTGCCCGGCGATGACGTAAAAAGGCCGCGCGGCGCTTACTTGGACACACCTGCTGCGGCCGTGAGCCTCTGCCGGTCGCAGTCATGGTGCGCTGCAGTTGCGTGTTCTTCAGAAAGGTCCGTGACTGGTGCCCCTCCGCCTGATGCCCGAGGGCCAGGTGCTTCTAGCCCCCCCGGGGGGCTCTGGTACTTCTTTTCCAACCTACCTTTTCTATTTGCGGAGTCTCTTTCCTGCTTTTTGCTACGAAGGTGTTCTTTCTGCCCCTCCCGGGGGTGTGTCTACCCGGCAAGGTTGGGATGGTTGTTGGGGGACAAGGTGTGAGATTTTTCTGGGGAATTGTATGCACGTGGGATGAAGAGCTGGGGTACCTGCCTGCCTTTAGACCTGTATTAACGGTATACATGGAGTGTAGGTTTGACTTTCTCTTTTGGCTCAAATGGAGTATTTTTCGTTTAAGTAATAATATCCGTAGTCTGTTTACATATACATTTTCCTTGAGTGCGTTGCTTTTAAGAGCTTTCTAAAGACGACTTTTTATCAGTAAATGAAAATATAATAATCGGCTTGCCTTGCAAGAAATTTAGGTCAGTTTTTGTATAGTGTCGATTTTAGAATAATTTCTGTAAAAAAACTTACAGTTGCTTCAAATTTAAAAGCCTCTTTGAGAGCCTTACTAGTGTTTTTTGAAACTAGCCGGCATCATAGTTTGGCCATTACCTTATTACTAATGATGAGATGGAGATGTTTCTTTTAAGTTTGGGTTCTAAATCTGACTCTGATCAATGTACAACGGTAAAAAATGCATAAGCTACTGCATTTTTTGTGGATAAGTTATTAAAGGCTACTTGTGTAACCTTACTGCCATAAAAAGTCACTTCCAATCAGTGTCGTTTGCAAAGGGAATCTATCTCTTCACTTATATGTGATGCATTTCTGATCTAGACATGTAGAACCAAAGTGTAAGTTCTTCAGACCCAGAGAAAAATACTCTGGTTGGCCCTCAAGTTTATCTTTTATATATTCCTCCCACCTTATTCTCTTACAACACTGTTTTAAGAATACATTTGCATACTTTATGAATCTCTGCACTTTGATTCTGTGCTATGACATCCACTGCAATATCAGATCTGGACTGCATCATAATCACCAAGAAAGCGTTTGCTAAATGTGCTTGCTTGACCTATCCTTGTCCTCTCCTCCAGAGTATATCAGAATGGTCAGGGGAGTATATATATTTTATAAAACGTTTCCAGATTTTTTTTTTTAATCCTCACTCAAGGACATTTTTCCATTTCTTTTCAGACAGAGTGGGAGGGAGGGAGAGAGAGAGAGACATCAGTATGAGAGAGACACATCAATTGGTTGCCTCCTGCATGACCCCGACCAAGGCGGGGGACCAAACTGCAATCGAGGCACATACCCTTGACCAGAATTGAACCTGAGACCCTTTGGTCCATGGGCCAATACTCCAACAGCTGAGCCAAACCGGCCAGGGCATCCAGATGTTTTTGATACAACTATCCTAGATGACTAACGATGTGAAGATTATTAATTTAAGAAATTACTTGGTAAGGAATCTTGATAGTCTAAGAGATTACTCCATAGGCTCTTTACCTGCTAGAAGGTGTTGATTTAGTGAAGGAAACAGAAGTAAACACTAAATGCAGTATAAGATTTCAGAAAGTGTACGAATAGAGGTGTAATCAAATTGCTAAGAGCTCGGCAAAGTGGATGGTAAGAGTTGATTAGAGGAATGAAGAAAGACATCAGCAAATACGACATTCAGGTGGGTTTATGATAGAAAAGAACAAATGGCATAAGTAGAGGAAAAGCATGAGCAGAGTGGCATGGAGATGTGGAAGTATAACATGTAGTACAGAGCAAAAAAGGAAGAGGACATAGGGGGCTGAATGAATGGAAATGAAACAGGATAGGTTAAGAGCTTTGAATATAGTACTGAGAGTTTTAGACTTTATTTCATAAACAGCAAAACACACAAAACATGAATGATTTTTGAGTAAGGGAGAAACATGATTAGAGATCCATTTTCGGAAAAATAGCTCAGGCAGCAAGATGAAGGGTGCATTGAGGAATGACTAGATGCTGAAAGACCAGTTAGGGGCTAATGTAATGGTTAAGTTACTAGGGCAGTTTGTACCAGGAAGGAAAGAGAGCTAGGGCTTTGGGGAAAAAAGCATGTATAGTCAAAGATTCCCGTATGCAGTCTCAATGAATAATAAACTATGATTCCATAATTTTAAAGATCATTGGAGGAACAGACTTTACCTAAGGAAAAGTTTGGTTTTGCCCTATTAACATATATTTGAGATGACAATTACCCTTTCAATACCCATGAACAAGTTACATATTTCAGGGGTTTCAAATATAAGTTAAATACAGATCTTGTTCTCAGTTGCTTTAGACTATTAGTTAAGCTTACATCCTGATGATGTCCAACAGACTGGACATAGAGAATATCTCACCTAGGTAATAGTTATTGGAACAGACCGAGATCACCCAGGGGAAACAGTCTAAATTGAAAAGTGGACCAGTATCAGAGACCTTGAGAATAAGTGGGACAACAATTGATAATTGAAAAAAAAAAAAAATTTAAGAGTTAAATGGAAAGAGGAGGTCAGATAGGAGATGAACTGAGAAAAGACTATAAATTTGGCATGCAGGAAGCCATTATTAACTTTTCGAGGCATTTTAAAGTGGCAACAAAGAACTAGACACGAGTTCTAAATAGGTAAGCACATTTGGTATACAAATGTTCTCTTTCTCTCCCTCTCTTTTTAAGTATGGAAACTTCATTGATAACCTAAGACTCTTCACCAGGGGAGGAAGTGGTGGAATGGGTTACCCTCGTTTAGGTGGAGAAGGTGGAAAAGGTGGTGACGTCTGGGTTGTAGCCCATAAAAAAATGACTTTAAAACAACTTAAAGACAAATATCCTCAGAAACGGTTTGTGGCTGGAGAAGGAGCAAACAGTCGGTGAGTATTTACTGAATAACTTTGATTTTATAAAAGTAGTTCCTCCTGGAAGAAAAAAAAGTTAAAAGATAAAAATGTATTTAGTAAATGTAATTAGTAATTTGAAGTTAATTATATCCTGTATTTGTAACTGAGCAAAAATCTACATTTGTCTCAGCTGTAGTAAAGATAAAAGATAGGTACTAAGAAATGTTTTGGAGCATTCAAATTTTTTATCCTTTTCTTCTCCCAATGTCTGTTTATATATGTTTTTCACTTCCTCTGTAGAAACAAAAGGATCCGAATTCCTACTGTTTTCTTCTTAAATTATCTTTAACAGTCTTTAAGAAACCTCTCTCAAATCTTAACCAAGCCACTCCACCCCATCACCACCAATAGTTCTGCCAGCATCTCAGGCAGTGCTGAAAATTTAGAACCTATTTCACTGATATATCTCCTGTATGTTTTCCCTTTTGCTTCTGTTTCATTCTTTCTGATAGCAAAACCTTTCCTTAATTTTTCATTAATGTTTGTTATTTTCTGTGGAACATATGTTGGCATCAAAATATGAGAAGAATTTTTTCTTTCAAAACACAGGCTATGCCCTGGCTGGTTTAGCTCAGCGGTTAGAACTTTGGTCCGTGGACCAGAGTCACAGGTTCGATTCCGGTCAAGGGCATGTATCTAGGTGGCAGTTCAATCCCCAGCCTTGGTTAGGGTCATGCGGGAGGCAACCAGTTGATGTGTCTCTTTCACATCGATGCTTTTCTTTCTCCCTCCCTCCCTCCCTCTCTATTTGAAAATCACTGGGAAAATATCCTCAGGTGAGGATTAAAAAAAAATGTATGCTATGATTCCTCAGGCCTGACTTATCTGTTATTCTGTAGGAGGTATTGGTTAATTGGCTAGACGTTATGTCCCTCTCTTCTTTTTTCTTCCCACAGAAGTGTTGATATATGTATTTTGAGCATTTTTGTTTTATGAATAGTCTGATTGTTACCATTTTAGCAATTTTTTTTTTTTTAATTCTCACCCGAGTCTATTTTTCTGTTTATCTTCAGATAGAGTGGGAGAGAGAGAAACATCGACATGAGAGGGACACATCGACTGGTTGCCTCCCACACAACCCCGGCCAGGGCTGGGGACAAACCGTAACTGATGTACATGCCCTTGGCCGGAATCGAACCTGCGACTCATTGGTCCGCGGGCCAACGCTCTACCGCTGAGCAAAACTGGCCGGGGCTGATTGATACCATTTTATAGGTCGAATGTTGAGAACCTTATATTTGTTAGAATTCAGTAATCGAATTTTTGCATACAGAATATTTTATTATTTTGATATTACCAGGTGGGAAATAACAGCAGTTTACATCCTAAAGTAAAATGTCTTAACATTTTATAATTTCCTTTGAAAAGTAAGGTTGCTATAATTCCAATTTTATTCTGTTTGCAGATCAGTGGTATACTAAAGATGGTATACAATATTTAAATGTTAAGAAAGATTTAAGTACAGTATAACATATTTCTTACTGGGGTTGTGTTTTGCATTTTTCAGTGTAGAGTGGTTTAAATCTAAAGGATTAATAGGAGCCAGCAAGGTAGAGCGGAGGAAATAGCATTGCAGGAAGGGTAATGTGAACAAAGGCCCAGTAATAGAAGACAAGTACCAGTACAAGACACTAAAAGAAGGCCAGTGTGGCTGGAATGTGGGAAACAGAGAGGCGTAGAGGAAGATGAGACTAGAAAGATAGGTACAGGCCAGACTTCCATTGAGACTGTCATTATTTATGAAATATTGCACTCTTCTCCAATTTGGTCTTCAGTCTCAGTCATCACCTTCAATCTGTTCTTTATCCAGTTATTCTTAGAGTTATTTTTCTAAAACGCCAACTTGTTAATGTCACTTGCCTATTTAAAATCCTTCCATGTTCCCTGTCACTCTAGGATAATCTTCAAACTCTCTAACACAGACTATCAGACTCTTCATGACCTGGACTACAGTGTCTTTATTTCACAACGTGCTACTCCACTTGTACCAGCGTTATGCTAGAAATAACTCTTATTTTTCCAAACAGCTTGTTCCCTCCTAATCCTCTGTGTGTATGTATGCGTGCACATAAATATACATATATATTCAGTTTGCCAACACCCTTTTCTGCCTTGACTGTCTGGCAAAGTCCTATTCCCCTTTTAAGACTTGGTTTAAGCACTACTTCCACAATATAGATAACTGAGTAAAATTTGAATTTCAGATGTCTAATAATGTGTACTAAAAATCAGACTGCTTTTGTTTGTCATGAAATCATCTCCCAGTAAATTGGTTTATGCTTGCTCAACTATGAAAATTATCAAATACTATTTCAACTATTTAAAAAGTTCTTTTTAAATTTAAGTGTTAATGTTTTTAATAAAATAGTATTTTATTATTATTTTTTTTCTTTATTGATTTTAGAGAGAGAGGGAGGGAGAAGTAGGGAGAGAGAAACATCAACGAGAGAGAACATCAATTGGCCGCCTCATGCATGCCCCCTTCTGGAGATCAGGCCCACAACCTGGACATATGCCCTGACCATGAATCGAACTGGTGACCTCTTGGTGCATGGGTTGACACTCAACCACTGAGCCACACTGGCTGAACTAATAAAATAGTATTTTAATAGAAAGTTCACGAATGGTAACAAATAAGAATGAAAATTAAATCTTGCCTCTGTATTCTAAAAATTGTGACATACATCCCAATAAGAGAAGTGTTCTGTTTACGTTTTTCTTTAGTTTATTTCTAATTCATCCATTTCTGTCAATCCAATTCATTCATTCAACTGATGTTAATTGGTATCCACTATGTACCAGTCACTGTACTAGATGCCTAGGATACAATGATGATCTAAACTAATATGTACCCTGCCATTCTGGAAGTTACTGTAGCGTAGTGGAGAGCAGACATTAATCAAACACATGAAAAATGGAAAATTATGACTGTGACACCTCATATGACTGAGAGCTTACACATGTATGTGGGTCTGGAAATTCTGACCTAATCATGGAGATCATGAATAAAAATATTTTATAAAAGGTCAACCACTATAATTCCAGAAATAATCAGTGTTAACCTTTTCTTGACTTTTCTGTGTGTATACACAGTTTGGGGGTACAAAAATGAGAGGACAGTATTTTGCAACCTCCTCATTTCACTTAACTTTTTCTCTGTGCCAGAAGATTGTTCAGAGTGGCTGCATAGTTAGTATTGGAAATAACATTATTTTGTCATTCATCTATTTTGATAATTATTGATTTTTTTACTGTTATATTCACAATGCAACACACATCCATGTGTATATAGTAGTTTACATGATTGTTCAGTTACTTTCTTTTAGGATAAATATCCAGAAGTGGATTTATTAGTTAGAAGTTTGTACCAATGTATTCTCTCATGAGCAGTTTGAGAGTTGCCAGATGAGCCCCCTATAATTAGAGTACTCTTGTCTGAGGTAATTTTTTAAAAAGCTTTGTTATTCAATTGATTTTTTTTTCTAGTTTATTTGTGTACATTTCGGGTGTACAGTGTATTAGTTCATTATGATTTGTGATGACTTTTGGTGGTTAGCTTGGTAACAGAAATCATTACTTAATATTATCTTTATTGGGATATGATAGTTTAAAATGTAAATAAATAACTAGGGATAATTTTATTTTTTCTCTAATATTTGGCCATTTAACATCTACATTAGAAGAGTTGGTTGCTAGTCTTCTTTATAGACCATTATCTTTGCTTGGCACATAAGCCATTTAATTTCATGGGTTTTCCTTGTTTTAACTTGGTTTTATTTTTCTGTAGGGTTAATGCACTAAAAGGCTCCAAAGGAAAAGACTGTGAAATTCCTGTACCTGTGGGTATTTCAGTAACTGATGAAAATGGTAAAATTATAGGTAAGTGTGCTATAGATTCTAAGGCTCTGAAAAAGGTGCACATTTTCTAAATTGTTTGGGAGCTGTGGGGAATAGCACCTCTTGAGTTCCAGGGTGTTTTTTTTTTTTAAACATTAACTATTTCAGCTGCTAATTTATGAAAGTACTTTTAAAAATAATATATAGCTCTTGTCTGTGTGGCTCAGTTGGTTGGGCATTATCCCGTGCACCGAAAGTTTACCAGTTTGATTCCTGGTCAGGGCACATACCTGGGTTGTGGGCTCGAACCCCAGTCCCAGTCAGGTTGCAAGCAGGAGGCAACCAGTTGATGTGTCTCTCTTACATCAATGTTTCTTTCTCTCTCTCTCTCCCTCTATCCCCCTCTCTCCATCTCTTCTTCTCCCTCTCTCCCTTCCCTCACTCCCTCCCTTCTCCTCTCTCTAAAAATCAGTGGAAAAAATATCCTCAGGTGAGGATGAAGAACAACAACAAAAAAAATATAAAGGTTGTTGAAAATTAACTGCTAGATTTAAGATTATTTTAAAGATAGAGTATTTACTTGGTTTTAAAACATATAAACTATTCTCTTTCAACTGCTTACAGAAGTGTTTTTCCAGGGTCAAGCTTTTTTTTTATCCTTGCTCAAGGATATTTTTCTATTTATCCTCAGACAGAGTGGGAAGGAGAGAGAGGGAGAGAAAGGCAGAGAGAGAAACATTGATGTGAGAGGGACACATCGACTGGTTGCCTCCCACACAACCCTGACAAGGGAGGACTGGGGATGAACCACAACCAAGGTACGTGCCCTTGGCTGGAATAGAACCCACAAGTCATTGGTCCGTGGGCTGACGCTGTACCGCTGAGCCAAACCGGCCAGGGCAATGTCAAGCTTTTAATCAAAACTTCTGTCCTCTATTTCTGAAAGAAAAATTCATTAATGATAAGCTCCACTTACTAATCTTGGCTCTGAGTATCTTTATCTCTCTTTTTAAGGAGAACTCAATAAAGAGAAAGACAGAATTTTGGTAGCTGAAGGAGGTCTTGGTGGTAAATTCTTTACAAATTTCTTACCATTGAAAGGCCAGAAACGAATAATTCACCTTGATCTAAAACTTATTGCTGACGTAGGCCTAGTGGGGTAAGTATCATTCATATCTTTTTTGTTCCTAATCCTCACCTGATTATCCTCAGATAGACTGGGAGGGAGGAAGGGGAGGAGGGAGGGAGGAAGAGAGAGAAACATTAATGTGAGAGAGACACATTGATTGGTTGCCCCCAACACGACCCTGACCAGGGCCCAGGATGAACTACCACCAAGGTACGTGCCCTTGGCTGGAATCGAACCCGAGACTCTTTGGTCTGTGGGCTGTTGCTCTAACCGCTGAGCAAAACCAGCCAGGGCTCATTAATATCTTTATTTTTATTCTTACACTTCCAGAGAGAGTTCATGAATAAAAAATAAACATAAATGGTAATTCAGGGACAGAATTATTTCTAGTTTATGAAATTTGTGCATAAACTAGAGAATTTGTGTACTTAGAGAATATGCTGTTAAATGAAGTTATTTTCACAATGTCAGCATTGCATTTCATATTTACTATTTATTTGATAAAGATCATAGCAATTGAGTAGTCTAGTGAAATGTTAGAAATGAATAAAGAAAAGATTAATTAAAAGTAGTAAAAGAAGGTAAAAGAAAGATACAAGATATTAAGGAATAAAATGAGAATCTGAACAAAGCACATTTTTAAATGTGTGTACAAGGAAGTAAAAAAAAGGGAAAAATGATTAAAATATTCTTATAAATCTTATCATTAATCAGATGGCTCAAGTCCAGTACAGACAATCTCAGCCATCAGACTTACAGCTATTGAGCACCAAGTTGGATCTTGCAATGACTGTTTCCCTATCCTTTACACTCTGCTTAGGATCTGTCCGTTCTCAGTACGGTAGACCACCTTACAGTGCTGTCCTCTTCCACCAGCTTCATTTTTTCATCAAACAGTGCTGTTTAGCTTTGGGTTTGCAGTGCTCCCACTCGGCCAACTAGAGAGAGAGACAGAACAAGATAGAGAGTAAATAAAGGAAGGGAAAACTTCAACTTTGTGACATATAAGTCTAGTTAAAATAAGTCTAGTTAAAATCCATCACTACACAGTTACAAATTTTTTTTCTTGTGATGAGAAATTTTAACCTTTACTCTTAGCAACTTTTAAATATATAATACAGTATTATCATATAGCATTATTTACTATAGTCACCATACTATATATTATATGGCCCATGACATATTTATGTTACAACTAGAAGTTTGTATCTTTTGACCCCCTTCACCCATTTTGCCCACCTCTACATTCCCACTTCTAGCAACCACTAAGACGTTCTGTCTCTGAGTTCATTTTTTTGTTTCTTTGTTTAGATTTTACATATGAATAAGATCATACAGTATTTGTTGTTCATTGTCTGACTTATTTCACTTAGCACAGTGCCCTCAAGGTGCATCTATGTTGTCAAAAGTGGCAATATTTCCTTTTTATGGTCGAATAATATTTCATCATATGTATATGTATATATATAATAAATGCCACATTTTCTTTATCCATTTATCTATCAGTCTAAGTGTCTATTGATAGATGAACAGATAAAGAAAATGTGGCGCATATATATATATATATATATATATATATACATACATGTACATATGATGTAAATAATGCTGCAGTGAACATAGGGGTGCATAAATCTTCTCAAATTAGTGTTCTTGTTTTCTTCAGGTAAATACTCAGAAGTGGAATTGCTGGACCATCTAGTAGTTTTATTTTCAATTTTTTTAGGAAATTCCATACTGGTTTCCATAATGGCTGCACCAATTTACATTTCTATTTGTACAATAAATTTAATGAAAATATCTGAATGAAATTTAGGAACTCCTCAGTTAAGAAACCCTCATTCCTAGTACTTTCTTTCATGCATTGTGGGCCTTTCCTGAGGGGAATTTTACAGTGCACCTTTGAAAGGAGTTTGCCTTACATAATTCAGTAGAAAAAGAAGGCCAACCAACTATGGATAGTCTTTCAGAAAAAAAAAAGGAAATCAAAACGGGATCTGATCAAGACTTTATATGTTACTACCAATTAATAGAAAATCCAGGGCAAAAGAGCATGTTATATGACATCATGAGGTGTCAGCAGACTATGGAAAAACTGTACAGGACAAATGACCCAGTTTTATAAAAAGTAAAATTACAAAGGGAGAATCAAGATGGAGGGGGAACTGTTACCAAAAGAAATCTAAGAGACCCTTCACATCAACCAGGTGTAATGCAGACCTTATTGGAGTCCTTATTCAAACAAACCAACTTTTTATTAAGTACTGAGAATATATTAATACTTGTTGAGCTATGTACTGGCTAAATGGGATTTATTACTCCTCTCTAGTATATATTTGAAAATGTCTGCATAAAATATTTATATATTTCTGATTGCCTAACCAGGGGCTCAGTGATTGAGTGTTGACCCATGCACCAAGAAGTCGCCGTTTTGATTCCTGGTCAGGGCACATGCCCAGGTTGTGAGCCAAATCCCGGGGTGGGGTGCATGCAGGAGGCTGCCAGTTGATGTTCTCTGTCATTGATGATTCCATCTCTCTCTCTTCCTCTCTAAAATAAAGAAAAAGTAAATAAGTAAGATGTTTCTGATTATTTTTAGCTCTGGCTGGGTGGCTCTGTAAGAGCATCGTCCCATACACCAAAATGTTGTGGGTTCAATTCCTAGTCAGGGCACATACCTCACTTACGGGTTCAATTCCTGGTTGGGGCACGTACAGAAAGCAACCCATCGATCCCCTCCCCACTTCCTCTCTCTGTCAAAATAAAATCAAGTTTTAAAAGTTTAATATAATATTGTTTAATATAAGTAATATTTAATCGGTGTTTGGCTAGAGATTATAAATTACAGGCATTTTAATTAGTTTCTGTTTGTTTTCCTATGCTTTACAAGTTGGTTTTTTTTTTTTTTGGAACGTGCCCTTAGCGGGAACCAAACCCAGGACTCTCTCTGGTCCTCAGACCAATGCTCCAACCGCTGAACCAAACCGACCAGGGCTTTACAAGTTTTTTTTTAAACATAATTTGAATTATTTATTCACAATATTCAAACATTTTCAGTGTCCAGCATGGATTTATCCTTACCTATTTCATAAGTACATTTTGTTCCTCAAGTTTTTCAAGATTATTTTAAATATATACTCTACTTTTAATCTCAGAAATATTCAAGACACTTGCTTCTTTAAATGTTAAGCATTCAGCCCTGGCCTGTTTGGCTCAGCGGTTGGAGCGTTGGCCTGCGGACTAGAGAGTCCTGGGGTCGGTTCCCGCTAGGGGCACATATCAAAAAAAAAACAAACAAACAAACATGTTAAGCATTCAGCCCTGGCCGGTTTGGCTCAGCAGTTGGAGCATTGGCTCTCGCCCCATTTGGGGTTGTGCAGGAGGCAGCTAATCAATGTTTCTCTCTTTCTCTCCCTCACTCCCTCTCTTCCACTCTCTCTGACAAAGCAATGGAAAAAATATTCTCCAGTGAGGATTAATTAAAAAACAAAAAAACTAATATTTGTTGCAATGTATAAATTAATTTTCTTGTTTCAGATTCCCCAATGCTGGAAAATCCTCTTTGCTAAGTCAAATTTCTCATGCAAAACCTGCAATTGCAGATTATGCATGTAAGTATAAGTTGTTATGTATTTCAATGTGTGGTGGTGAAGTTTTAAAGACTAATCTTTCTTTTAGTATGCATAAAATGACCACTCTGAGTGTAGCCTTATTTTGAAAACTCTTGGCAGAATATATGCATTTCCCATTAATGTTTGAAACCTCTCTAACCTTCAGCAAAGTTTCTAGTATGTGTTATTTTGTTGCATTTACTTTTCTGTTGCATAATCATTTATTTGGTTTAATTATGATTTTATGAGCACCTGTCCTTTATCAGGTACTGTGGTAAATACTAGGAAGGCAGAGTTGAATTCTTTCACTCATTGCTTCACTCACAGCAAATAGATTTTTCTTGGAACTGCGTGACAAAGACTGGTAAGCAGAAACATACTATTCTGACTTTTATTGAGCTTACAGACTAGTGGAGAAAGGCACATAGCTCATTAACGAATATAAGGAACTATAATACAGTTCTATGAAAGAGTGTAGGTGACTGCTTTAGACTTTTTTGTGGAAGTATGATGCTGGGGCTTAGGTTTGAAGAGTAAATATGAGGTAATCAGTGACATAGTTGAGGTGATGGGTCTTTTAGTCAGAGGAAATAGCATGTATACAAAGGCTCTTTGGTGGCAGGGAGTGGATTTGTGTATCTAGAGGACATGTGGTGAGGGAATCAAGGTGAGGCTGGAGATATAGGTAGAAACTGCATCATGTAGACCATGTAGGCTATATTTGATCTTTATATCCTTAAGATAGCCTTTTAAGCGAGGGATATAATGATTATATTTGCTTTAAAAAGATTTCTGCTTATAATACAGAAAATGGATTGGTGTGGGACATAGGTAGACCTGGGAAGAACAGTTAGTAGACTATTGCGATAGCAAAATGAGATATAATAGAAGCTTAAACTAAGAGTAGTAAATGAATATGATAGGATGGATATCTGCCATCATTAAACAAAAAGGTACAGAATGACATTAACCTGAAAAATAAAATTAAGCCATTCTAAAAATAGACTCTGATAAAGTAGAGTTCCTTTTGGACTTACTGCTTTAAATTACATGGCCAGTATTTATTATTATAATACAGGTATTCTTGAGAAGGAAAGAAGAATAAAAGAAAAAAGTCATAGGGCCCTGGCCGGGTTGGCTCAGCGGTTAGAGCATCGGCCTGCGGTCCAGAGAGACCTGGGTTTGGTTCCCGCTAAGGGCGCGTACCTCGGTTGCAGTTTGTCCCAGCCCTGGTTGGGTTGTGCAGGTGGCAACCACTCGATGTGTCCCTTTCACATCAATATTTCTCTCTTTCTCTCTCTCCCTCCCATTCTACCTGAACAAAATATGGAAAAATGTTCTCGGGTGAGGATAAAAAAAAAAGTCATAGGGAGGATGCTAGTGCAGGATTGGTGAGGATAACTAACTGAGAAAGGACTAGACCAAACCTAGTGATAGAAGACCAAACCTAGTGATAGAAACCTAAATTCTGACCCCCCACCCACCATGCTGCTTCAAGTGTGATAGAGGAACTTTAAGGCCCACTAATTAGATTAGACTATGCTTATTGTAAAAATCTGTGTTTCCAAGCATATTGTAAATAGCAAAGATAATTGTACCTTCTTTTTCAACAAATGAGAACATGATCTGAAATTGTTCACAGAAAATATATATTATTTATTTTATACATAATACTAAGACAGTTTTAAGAGTACCAGCCTTTATTCTAGCCCTAATTTATTATTGCTGTTTTTCTTTCAGTTACAACATTAAAGCCTGAACTTGGAAAGATTATGTATAAAGATTTCAAACAGGTGGGTACTTTTAAAGTAAGTCACTTGAAAAAAATAAGTAAATAAAGTAACACACTTGGTTAGAAGTGAAAGTACTTGCTTTTGGCACTTGGACTTTATATTTGACTATTTCTGTCGTGTTGGGGGTGGGAGGGATAGTTGCGAGATTTGGTTTTTAATAAGTGAAACTGTGATCAAATCAGTAATGAGCACCATCATAGTAAAATATTGTATATGAATGTAACTTTTAAAATTAGGTATTACTATTTTGATCCCCTTTACCCTTTACTACCTCTTATACCCCCCTTTCCCTCTGGTAGCCACCATATTGATATCTGTGTCTATGAGTTTTTGTTTGTTTATTTTTCTTGTTTGTTAATTTGTTGCTCTCAGTTTTATATCCCATACATGATTTCACTCATATGTGGGATTTCACTCATATGTGAGCATGTAACTTCTTTTTTTTGTACTTGCCCCTAGTGGGAACCAAACCTGGGACTCTCTGGTCCCCAGAGGCTGGCGCTCCAACCGCTGAGCCAAACCGGCCAGGGGGAGAATTTAACTTCTTGTTCTTTGAGAAGTTAAGTCTAGTTTATCATTACAACATTGTATCTTCATTTTTCTTTTATTGTTTTTTTATCCTCACTGGAAGCTATGTTTCTATTGATTTTTTTTTTTTTTTTTTTTTTTGGAGAGATCAAGGGGGGGAGAGAGAGAGAGAAATGTCAGTGTGAGAGAGAAATACTGATCGGTTGTCTCTGACCGGAGATTAAACCTGTGCCCTGATCAGGAACTGAACCCAAAACCTTTTAGTGTGGGAAGACACTTCAACCAACTGAGCCACACCAGCCAAGGCCGCTTCTTTATTTTCTTAATCTCTGTTTTTTCTCATTGCAAATTCATATTTACTTCCATATTTGATTATTAATTTTTACTAACTAAAAACATTTTCTAAAGTCCATGGAAATGATTTTATTTCAACTTTCTCTTTAGAAAAATTTTAATTGAAAGGGATTCTGGCCTTGTCTAACTTAGAACTATTTTTCTTTAATAAGGAAAAACTGTAGATATTTTTAGTAATTAGACTAAAACAAAAATATGTAATGTGCAGTCAGCAATCATGTTCATTGGGATTTACCCATATGAGTTGAAAACTTATGTCTAAATAAAAACCTGCACACACATGTTTTGTAGCATCTTTGTTGGTAATTGCCAACATTTTGAATCAACCAAGTTGTCCTTCAGTAGATGAATGGGTAAAACTGTGGTACATCCAGAAAATGGAATATTATTCAGCACTAAACAGAAATGTGCTACAAGTTATGAAGACACAGAGGAATCTTAAATGCCTATTAACTGAGTGGAAGAAGCCAGCCTGAAAAGGTTGCGTACTGTATGACTCCAACTATATGAGATTCTGGAAAAAGGCAAAACTATAGAAATAGCAAAAAAAAAAAAAAAATCAGTGGTTGCTGAGGATGAGGGGAAAGGAAGGGATAAACAGGTAGGGCACAAAAGATATTTAGGACAGTGAAACATCTCTGTACGATGCTATAATGGTGGGTGGGTGTCATACATTTGTCAAAACGCATAGAATGTACAACACCAAGATTGAACCTGAATGGACTTTTGATGATGATGTATCAATGTAGTTTTATATAATCCATTGACACAATTCAAAAGAAATAAGATTTGTATTCATTTACAACTAGCATAATAGTAAAAAATTAATAAAATTTCAACAATTATTTATAATAAATAATAAGTAAATTTAGCCCTCGCTGGTTTGGCTCAGTGGTCAGAGCATCAACCCGCAGACCAGAGAGTCATGGGTTTGATTCCAGTCAAAGGATCGTACCTCAGTTGCAGTTCGTCCCCAGCCCTGATTGGGATCGCATGGGAGGCAACTAATTGATGTGTCTCTCTCACATTGATGTCTCTCTCTCTCTCTCTCTACCCTTCCCTCCCACTCTATCTGAAAATAAATGGAAAAATATCCTCGGGTAAAGATTAAAAAATAAATTTATAAATACAAGGTAATATGAATATAGCAAACTATTTATTTTTTGTTAATCCTCACCCAAGGATATTTTTCCAATGATTTTTAGATAGAGTGGAAGGGAAGGAGGGAGAGTGGGGGAGAGAGAGAGGGAGAGGGAGGGAAAGAGAAAGATACATCGATTGGTAGCCTCCAGCACCACCCCAGCCAGCGCTGGGGATTGAACCTGCAACCCAGGTACGTGCCTTTGACAGGGAATTGAACTGCAACCCTTTGGTCCAAGGGCCAACGCTCTTAACTGCTGAGCCAAACCGGCCATGGCAGCAAACAGTACTTAGAGGAAAGGAGATCATTGTAATTTTTTTTTTTTAATCCTCACCTGAGGACATTTTTCCATTTTTTGTTCAGATAGAGTGGGGAGAAAGAGAGAGATGTGAAAGGGACACATCAAGTGGTTGCCACCCGTACGACCCAACCAGGGCTGGGGACCAACTGTAACCGAGGTACATGCCATTAGCGGGAACCGAACCTGGGTCTCTCTGGACCGCAGGCTGATGCTCTACCACTGAGCCAAACCGGCCAGGGCAGATCACTGTAATTTTACAATGGAGGAAAATTAGTAAAGAACCTTCAAACAGAATTTCAGGACATGAGACCTCTGTAGTGTGCGCTGCTTTGTCACACACATCTTTTAAAACTCTGAAAGCTTTCTTCACATGAGCAGTGTGTGTAAGCAATGCTTCCCACTCCTTATTGCTCATCAGAATTATTTGGGTGACTTAAGAATAACAATGATAAAAGAAGCCTGTGCCCCAGAAATTTCAAACCAAATCTCTTCGGTGTAAGGCCTGGGCATCTGTAGTTTATAAAAATGATCATGATGCACAGTGAGGTTTGAAAACCACAATTGTAGAATAATGGTTAATAACGCTTATCTTTTCCAAAGGAATATAAGAACACTGTAATCTTTACTTTTAAAGAATGATCTATAGTTCTCTTCATAGAATAAACAGAAAAGGAACATTAACTACATATAGAATTTAAACTTAACACTATAGAGTGTACTAAGTAAATGTCAGCCGAATTAATGTCCTTGAACACTTAAGAATTCAGAAAGTTGAAATTCTATAGAAAGTTTATATTAAACAGTATTTATGGAATTCTTACTAGAATTTTGTGATTAATAATTGTTAAACTATTTCCTAAAGTTCTAGATTGTTAGATTAATAATTAAAAATGAGACTCTAATTTCTGATAACAAAGGATTTGATTCTTAATACATTTATTTTGTTGTAATACATTTTTTTTTCATCTTGGCTTTAGAAAGATGTAGTTGTAATCATAAATCAGGAGCTGTTTATACTTGAAATACCATGAAAAATTTTGAAAGTAATGGTTCTTATGGTTTTCATGTCTTTTTTTCTTTTATCAAACCATTTAACTTTGTATTAGATATTAGTAGCTGACCTTCCTGGTTTAATAGAAGGAGCACATGTGAACAAAGGAATGGGCCACAAATTCCTCAAGCATATAGAAAGAACTACACAACTACTGTTTGTTGTAAGTCACCTATATCAATGCAGTATTCAACTGAATGTAAAAATCAATCAATTTAGTTTTCTTAGAATTTTTTTATAATAAATTTAAAGACAAAGTGGTAGCATATGTGACTCCACTAAGTCTATTTAAACGAGGGTCAAATATTATAAGCAATCTTTGTTTATAATGTGGGGGTGGAAATAGCATTATTTACTGTATCAGATGTAAGTTTGGCCATACTTGTCAAGGTTTAATTCTTTAATTCCTTAAGATTTTCAACGTATCATAGAGTGTCTTTTTCCTACTTTATTGGTGGTGCTAGAGTTATACAGCTGACCCTTGGACAACATGGGTTTGAACTGTGCAGGTCCACTTATACGTGGATTTTGTTCAGTAAATACCTGTACCATTTTCTATCCATAGTGCTGCTGATGTGGAGGGCTGACTATATGCATTGATCTACGCCATTTTATATACAAGACTTGAGCCTCCACAGATTTTGGTATCCTTGCAGGGGTCCTGGAACTAATTCCCTGTGAATACTAAGGGGCTGTAGTTAAGTTATGGGGAAGGCCAAACGTATACACTGATTTTCAACTGTGCAGGGTGGGGTAGGTGTTAGTACCTATGACGCCCAAGGTGTTCAGGGGTCAGCTGTTTATCAGATTGTCTATATTAGTTTAATTGTTATTTATACTAGTTTTTCATTTTATTAATGGTTGTGATTTTATCCGAATAATTATAGTTATCTTGATACTTCATTTTCTCTTATTTTTTTTTTATCCTCACCTGAGGACATTTTTTCGATATTCAGATAGAGTGGGAGGGAGAGAGAGAGAGAGAAACATCGACGTGAAAGGGACACATTGAGTGGTTGCCACCCACACGACCCAACCAGGGCCGGAGACAAACTGCAACCAAGGTACCTGCCCTTAGCAGGAACTGAACCCAGGTCTCTCCAGACCAGAGGCCGATGCTCCAACTGCTGAGCCAAACTGGCCAGGGCTCTCTTACTTATTTTTAATTACTAAATTACCAATAGAGTATAGATTGAAAATTATTTTTAGGTTGAGAGAATAAAACATTTCAAAACAGAAATGTATTATCTTGTTAAAGGCCATCTCTTTTCCTCTTACTTTCCCTCAGGTTGATGTCTCTGGATTTCAGCTTTCTTCTCGAACTCAATACAGAACTGCCTTTGAAACCATAATACTGCTCACAAAAGTAGGTTTTCTGTTTCTATTTTACTGCGTTCTGCATCTAGTCTAATATGCAGGCACATAAGACTATCTGAAAAAACAAATAATTACAATAAATATGTATTCCATCTCTATGCTTTGAAGCTTCGATGTTAATATCTAAATTTGCTGTCTCCAGTTCTTCAATATTAGCCTGATCCTCAAACAATTGCTACCAGTAAAACCCTCCTTTTTGCATACTTCTCAAATTTTATCTGGCTTGAACTTTTCTTCTTACTTCTTAGACTACCTCTCTCTTTTATGCTCTTTCCTATTTATTTATTTGTTAGTCCTCACCTGAGGATATTTTTTCCATTGATTTTTCTGAAAGAGAGTGGAAGGGAGGGAGGTGGGGGAGAGAGAGAGAGAGAGAGACAGAGAGAAACATTGATGTGAGAAGAGACACATCAGTTGGTTGCCTCCCACAACCCCAACCAGGGCAGGGGCCCTTGCTCTAACCACTGAGAAAAACTGACCAGGACTCCTTTTTATTCTTTAAATAGCATTCAGTTAAGTAAATATACTGATGACTGCCAAATCTGTATCTGATACCCAGATCTTTCAGTTAAGCATTAGACCAGCTGCTTCTTGGACATCTTTGATTGGATATCCCATTAACTTCTCAAACTTTTTATGTATAAAACTGACCTTTTTTTTTTTTTTTTAAACTCTTTAGCTTCCTCCAGAACTGTACTGAGTATGTAAACGGGAACTGTGGGTGGTGGTCTTGTTTCTATCTTTTTTACCACCTGTATCAAGCCCTGTCAGTTTTACATCCTAATCTGCTGAAATTCATCTGCTTGTCTTCATCCACATTGTTTTAATCATCAACCCCTCTCATTAGAATGTTGTAAGTCCTTCCTATCTGGTCTCCTTGCTTCCAGTCCCATTTCTCTACAGTATTTTTTTATGTGGCATCTAGAGTGAGCTTTGTAAAAGAACTAAGCTGATACTCGTTTCCTGCTTAAAACACTTGGAAGGTGCCCCATTGTTATTAGGTTAAAATCTAACCTGAGCATGATTTGTGAGGTCTGGCAAAGTTGGGTTCCTACCTAGCAGTCCATCTCTTTCTCCCTGCCCCTCTTTCATTCTATATCCAGCCCTGTGATTTCTGTCTAGCATTTTTTGATCTTTCTTATCTCCAGGACTTTGTATATCCTATTTCCTTTGCCACTTTTTACTATTATGAATAATACTGTTGTAAATATTTGTGTACAGATATTTGCATGGACATGTTTTTATTTCTGTTGAGTATGTACCTAGGAGTGGAATTGAATTGCCAGATGACATGGTAACTCTGTGTTTAACATTTTGAGGAACTGCCAAACTGTTTTCCAACGTGACTGTACTGTTGCACCAGTTTACAATTCTACTCACAGTGTGTGAGGTTTCCACTTTTTCCACTTAATGTCTGCACTTGTTATTGTCTATCTTTTTATTTTAGCCACCCTAGTAGGAATGAAGTGGAATTTCATTATGGTTTTGATTTATATTTCTCTAGTGACTGATGATGTTGATTGTCTTTTCATGTGTTTATTAGCCTTTTGTTGTCTTTGGAGAAATCCCTCTTCAGATTCTTGGTGCATATTATAATTGGGGTTATTTGTCTTTTTATTGTTGAGTTGAAGCGAGCCTTATAGTTTGGATACAAGTCCTTTATCAAATCCATGATTTGCAAATATTTTCTCCTATTCTGCCTTTTTAGTTTCTTTATGATATGTTTTGAAACACAGAATTTTAAATTTTAATTAAGTTTCATTTGTCTATTTTTTTTTTTCTTTCGCTTAATGCTTCTTGGTGTCAAAGCTAAAAAACTATTGCCTAATCTACAGTCATGAAGACTTACTTCTATTCACTTCAAATTTTATTTGTGTGCTTCATAGAAGTCCAGATATTTGTATTTGGCTCGAGGCACAAATCACAGCTCTCTCTGGGTTGCCGTGTGAGCTAAAATAAATTAACACATGACCTAACTATTAAACATTTTCTGACTTTCCTTTGTTAATCAGTTTTGTGGTTGTTGGGATTTATTGCATTTCAGAGATGTGACTGGGCTGTAGATTACCTAGGCCTATAAGGTAAAGAAAGATATTACCAAAGAAGTCATCTATATAGATATTTTAATAAAATTATTTGGTCTTTTGTTTTTTTTATTTAAAGGAGTTGGAGTTGTACAATGAGGAACTCCAGGCAAAGCCTGCGCTCCTGGCAGTAAATAAAATGGACTTGCCAGATGCCCAAAATAAATTCCATCAACTGATGAACCAACTCCAGAATCCTAAAGGTAAAACTGATTCATTCATTTAATGCCAGTTTAATGAATACCTAATATGTGCAGAGTGCACTAAGTGATATAATCAGTGGAAAAGAAAACGAACAGTTGCTACTCTTAAAAAAGTATGTTTGAAGAAAGACCCCATACCACATGAAACATTTAAATAACATTGTAATGTAATACCAAGTTTCAGAATGTGTAATATAAGTAGTGAGAGGAGACAGAAAAAAAAAAAGATAATTTGAGCTGAAAACGCCAGGCTCATGAAGAAGTAAAACATAAACTGGGTCCTTAATATGTTAATGGGGTTTGGATTAGAAGAGGGAAAAAATCAGCATCTACCTGTAAAGTCTTTCACTTGAACATATTTCACAGTTCCTAGAACTTTATTCTCCTAATACATCATAAATTTAAAAACAGCTAATAGTTCTAAAGAGGTGTGTGTCTTTGTAATGTCAGCTCTATGGGTCTTTGAACAACACTAATCTTCTGAAAAGAACTTGTGCACATGTCTGTGTATGTGTAACACAGAAAAACAGATACTGTTACTCCAGAAGGATTTGTTTGTTTGAAATTTGTTTCTAAATGGACCACTTTATGTAAAAGAACTTAAAAGGACTCTCCACTGTCTTGAATATTGAACTTTGTAGAACTCTCTATCATACAGTGATGAAGCTTTCATTTTTCTAGAGAAGAAGACCTCTTCACAAATGAGGAAAAGTAGAGTGGATAGCAAGTGGTTAACATGTTTTTGAATAGTACTGATTTTTCTGTTTCTATCCTTAGGATAAAAATTGCGGAAAATAAGTTATTAGGACTAGCAGACAGCACCAGAAGATTCTTTCTCCCTTCAAAAATATTCCCCTGGTGTAATTTACATATTGGGGCTATCCTTGAGTTAGTAAGTTACTTTTGGGATATAAATATTTCCTGAAATTAGTAAATAGTCTTTATTCCTTAATGTCATTTGCTTTATGAGATTATTAGATCTGTTTGCTCATTAGTCTTGCAGAAAAGGGCATTTTCAGAGGAGGTACCAGAAGGGAGGGTAACTCAAGAGTTGATGGCTGTTTTGGACCATCATAAAAGAAAATATAGCCCTGGCCATTGTGTCTCAGTTGATTGGGCATTGTTCCGTGCACCAAAAGGTTGCCAGTTCGATTCCTGGTCATGGCACATGTCTGGGTTGTGGGCTCAAGGCCCAGTGGGGTGGGGTGTAGGAGGCAGCTGATCAATGTTTCACTCTCATATCGATGTTTTCTTCTCTCCCTCTCCCTTCCTCTCTCTAAAAATATAAAAATAAAACAAAATATTGTCCCCTCAGTGATAATTCCTGCATTAACCTTTCTAAACCTCTTGGAGGCAAATGAATCTTGGAATCCAAGCTCCATGTTGGTTTGTCCATTATCTCTCAGTACAGCCTTTGCAGTTTCATATCAGTATTAACCCATCCATTGTATTTCCTCTTCCCATTGCCTTGGTGGCAGGGGAAAGGAAAAAGTAATGTAACAGTTCTCAGGCCCCGTGGAGTGATAGAGTAGACTCATCTGAAAGTACCTCCCCTTGAACCACCCCCACACCCATCTCAGTGTTAGTAGGGCTCCTGTACCATTGCCTATACTTCAGGGCGTTAAAGGCCACTTGTGTACTGAGGCAAACTAGAGTAACCCAAATCACAGATGATGTTATTTTTATAAAAAGATTGTTTTAGCCTGGCTGGTGTGGCTCAGTGGGTTGAGCTTCATCCCATGGACTGAGAGGTCCAGGTTAGATTCCCGGTCAGGGCACATGCCCGGGTTGCAGACTCAATCCCCAGTAGCGGGTGTGCAGGAGGCAACCGATTGATGTTGATATTTCTGTTTCTAAAAAAAAATCAATAAAAACATATTTTTAAAAAGAAAAAAAAGGTCCTTTCAGAGAATCTATGTTGTCTCACTTTATCGAACCCACCCCCAAAAGCAACTTGCTTCTGTAAGTAAATCATCTTCTGTGATTCTTTTATCTATATTTAATTTAATATCTTTATCCAACAAATATTTACTAAGCCTCTATCATGTCCCAAGAACTTTACCATTGTCACTAGTTAAAAAAAACAAGCATTCTGAGAGCTTATTATGAGAGAGAAGGAAAAAAGAGAATTAAAAATGCAAGTTTTTGCCCTGGCCGGTTTGGCTCAGCGGTTAGAGCGTCCGCCTGCGGTCCGGAGAGACCCGGGTTCGGTTCCCGCTAAGGGCACGTACCTCGGTTGCAGTTTGACCCCGGCCCTGGTTGGTCGTGCGGGTGGCAGCCACTCGATGTGTCCCTTTCACATCGATGTTTCCTTCTCTCTCTCTTCCTCTCTCTCCCTCCCACTCTGTCTGTGCAAAGGATGGAAAAATGTCCTCGGATGAGGATAAAAAAAAAAAATGCAAGTTTTTGGTTCCTTGGTTCACAAATCAAACCTTTAACATAGTTTTAACTTACTTTCAAAAACAATGAAAATCATCATAGTGTTGTTTTTGTTTCAGATTTTCTGCATTTATTTGAAAAGAACATGATTCCAGAGAGGATAATGGAGTTTGAACATATCATCCCCATCTCTGCAATCACAGGAGAAGGAATTGACGAATTAAAGAACTGTATAAGGAAATCTCTGAACCAAGAAAATGATGCATATCATAAGAAACAGTTGCTTAATTTACAGATTTCCAATACATCTCACAGGGAGCCACTATTTCAGAATGCTCTTGCTAGTTCCAGAATGGATACAATTTAAATTTGTAATAAATTGTATTCATTTGAAATTGTGTTCATTTGAAAGCTTTTTCACAGACATGTATATTTTAGAATGTTAGTTATTACTAACCTTCTGATATATACGCCATTGTTTGAGAACCATATATTTTTAAGTTGTTTATAGTTAAATGTATCAACAGTAAAAATAATTGAGAGCTAAAAATGACAGTTTATAATTTTATGACCAATCCACTTATAATAAAATTCTCTGATATTTCTATACTTATGATGTCTCTAGTGAGGTCATTTTTGTTTTTAATATAAAATGATTTCTAGAATATAATGAGAATGAGCAACTAGGTTTTGTTTGTTTGTTTTTGAGTCTGTCATGTACCTGGCTCAACTATTTATAATCTCATTTTTAGAAAAATCTAAAAATAGATGTTTGTAATTTCAGCTTTTAGAAAAATTTCTTTTTTATTTTTATTTACTTATTTTTTTAAGAATTTATTTTTGAGAGTATTACAGATATCCTCCATTTTACCCCCTTTGACCCCTTCCACTCAGCTCCCACCTCACCCCACCCCCTGGCCTACACTGCACTATTATCTGTGTCCATGGGCTATGCATATAAATTCTTTGGTTAATCTCTTGCCGCTTTCCCTCCCTCCTTCCCTCTGCAATCTCTCAGTCTGTTCCAGGCTTCCATGCCTCAGGACCTATTTTGTTCATCAGTTTATTTTGTTTTTTAGATTCCACATATAAGTGAGATCATGTGATAATAGTCTCTCTGACTGACTGAATTTCATTTAGTGTAATAATCTCCAGTTCCATTCATGCTGTCACAAAGGGTAAGATCCTTTTTTACTGCTGCATAGTATTCTATTTTGTAAATGTACTACAGCTTTTTTATCTACTTATCTACTGATGGGCACTTGGGCTGTTTCCAGATAGTAACTATGGTAAATAATGCTGCTATGAACGTAAGGCTACATATATTCTTTCTGATTGGTGTTTCAGGATTCCTAGTATATATTCCCAGAAGTGGGATTACTGGGTCAAATGTCAGTTCCATTTTTAATTTTTTGAGGAATCTCTATACTGTTTTCCACAGTGGCTGCACCAGTCTGCATTCTCACTAGCAGTGTGCCAGGGTTCCCTTTTCCCCTCATCCTGTCCAGCACTGGTTGTTTGAAAATTTTCTTTTTTAAGTATGAGAGTGTTTTTTTCTGCTTTGAAGCAGACTGGTATATGAGTCTTTTTCTTATGGCTTAGTCTGTTTCATTGTCTACTTTCATATTTTAGTAAAGAGAAAATAGAAAGTACAGACTTTAAACAATACTATCAATCGTCAATATATTCTTCAGATTATAATTTCTACCTGAATTTCAAAATATTTACAAATTGGACATTTGTTCTTAATGAGTTTTCTTGTAAAATATACATGTTCATTGTAAAATAAAAATTTAAACAGTGCAAGAGCATATAGAGTAAAAAAAGTTCCCATCTTTCTGCATTAGGCACTCCAGGCCTTCCCAGACAAAACCACTGTTAATAGTTTCCTATGTTCTTGCAGATTTTTTTAATTTATCTTTTTACCCAAGTGAGTTTATTATATAAACTTTTTCCAAGTTTATTTTTTTACAAAACAGTAGCAAGTTAATGAGCTTTTAATAATTACTCTTCAATGCTGCTTTTAAATTATTAGGCATTGTTTTGGAATTTAAGGTTTAGTGAATGGCTATAAATAAAAATGATGTAAATATTGGTCTACTTAAATTTCTTCTGATAAGACAATGTGAGTGACTTTTTACAAGCATTATTTCACTTTCATTTGTTCTGTTTTCTGTACCTCCCACCTCTCATCCCTGTCCCCAGATCACTGGATTTTCTTGTATTTCTTTTTTCTTTGTTGCACGGATATTTACTGATATCCCCTGTACCAGGCACTGTGCAGGGCGTTGCATGTACGGTGTTGAAGAGAACAGGACCTACTGCCCTCATGGATCAGCCGTTTGATAGCAGAAACTGCAGGGAATAGAATAGCTTGGATTCACTTTATAACAAAGAAGTAAAAGTGAAGAGAGTATTTGGAATTTGAACATCTGTACTGATTATAGTGATTATGTTTTATATTGGGTATGTTTTTTAAATTTATGACTTCAGGGTCATTTTTTCTTTTTCTTTTTTAAATTCTGTTACTTCCTAACTATAAACAAGTAGCAATGGGAGGACAGTTGTATCAGGTGAATTTCTGAAGCTCTGACACCATAATATTATTCTCTGCTGTGGCGAAAGATAGTAATTGTGTATTGAGGATTAAAACGAATTGTATGTTATTAGCTTTGTCAAAAAGTTAATGAAATCTTTAGATTTTTTTCTTGCCAAAAATTAACATAAACACACAGAGTATTTTCCAAGCAGTTTCACAGGGATTGCAGAATTAAGGTGAAAAAAATCAAAGGTAACAAAGGTAAGATCCATCTAGAAATTTTTAATCTTTAAGGTACATTAAAAATAATTTTTCAGAGCAACAGCATAAGTGGACTTACAAAATGTAGCTTAAAAGTGAAATGAAAATTAGCAATAATACACATTTCAAACTTTACACAAAAGACACTTTATTTAAAAAATAGGGCAACATTTTGTTTGAAGACCAAACTGAAGTGAATTTAGTGGATATTTTTAAGTTCTTAAAAGTATCTTAGATTTAGTTTGAATCTGTCTCTCCTTGTGGAATAGACAAGTGAAACACATTTTAAAAAATGTTTGAATACATGATTTGTGCTGGTAATCATATTCTAACATGGCAATGTTTACATGCTGGCACTGCTGAATGTTTCTCATATATCATCTCTTTAAACACTACACTGTGTTGCCTCCTGCTCATTTATTAATTTGAAATTGGGTGGTGGGTATATGAGTGTTTGGGGTTTTTTAAAAACCTTTTTGAGAGTCTAAAATATTTTATAATTTTTGAAAAGCATTTATTTGCCTTACAAAAGTTTATACCTTGATAATTAAGCCATTTAGATACTCAGAGTTGGGCCCAGCTGGTATGGCTCACTGGTTGAGCATCGACCCATGCACCAAGAGGTCACCGGTTTGATTCCCGGTCAGGGCACGTGCCCAGGTTGTGAGGGGCATGCAGGAAGTGGCCAGTCGATATTCTCTCTCATCAATGTTTATCTCTCACTCCCTCTCCCTTTATCTCTCTCTAAAATCAATTTAAAAAAATTTTTTAAAATAAAAATAGATCCTCGAAGTTGACAAATGTTGACAGAACATGCTATAATTTTTACTGCAAAGTTAAACAATAAGGACAAATATACATTTATTGTTTTCCCCCTTAAAGAGGTATTTCATAGAAGCATTTTGTTTTCTCTTTTGTGATTGGAGCTTGGTGAGTAGATGAAAAGTATCTGAGGAATTTTTTTAGCTTTGAGTGGGTGTTGCAAGCCAGCTGAAGGAAAAAAAATCAAATAGGTGAAGAAATGAGTAAAGGAGAGAAAAAAGAAAAAAAAAGTATGTATGTTAGAAAGTTCTAGTATTTCCCTGTGGATAGTTCAGGAGTAATGGGCAGGGTTATTGCCTTAGCTGGCTATCAGGATGAAAAAGCCAAGGACAATTTCAACTACCATTTCTTTTCTTTTTTTTTTTTTTTTCATCCTCACTTGAGGACATTTTTCCATTTTTGTTCAGATAAAGTGGGGGGGGGGGGAGAGAGAGAGAAACATCGACATGAAAGGGACACATCGAGTGGCTGCCACCCACACGACCCCAGCTGGGGCCAGGGACAAACTGCAACCAAGGTATGTGCCCTTAGCAGAAACTGAACCCGGGTCTCTCTGGACTGCAGGCCGATGCTCTAACCGGTGAGCCAAACTGGCCAGGGCTCAACTACCATTTCTGATCACAACCTACCTTTAATTGTAGGCAGTTCTAGTTTTGCTTTTTTTTTTCTGTTTCTCATTATATGACTGTCACTTAATAGTTGTTGGGTACTTGAAAGACTTCAGAGGAAGTAATCACCTTTGTATATATTATTAATGTGTCCATAGTAGATATTAAGTCTGTTGGGATGCCCAGATCCCAAGCTATGTGAAGCATTGCTATTACCTGAGTCATGTCCTTTGAAATACTTGGAATTTGAAGAACAGGATATACAGTTTATATTACAACTAATTTTGAAGGAATATATGACAAGGTAGTTTATTTTTATAAAATCTGAGTACATTGAAAGTTAAAAGTGAAGGACAAAAGCTTTTTTGTTCATGGCACATATTTCAGTATATTTTGAAATTGCCAATATCTTCTGACCAGCACCTTCATTTTCTTATTTGCTACCAAGCATTATTATTGGTACTATATATAAAAGGCTTTAAGAAGACCATGTTGTAATTTTCTTATATTAAGTCAAGGAACAGGATTATAAAGCTAAAATATACCTTCAGTTTAGTTTGTATATTGTTTGCTACAGATTGAGGGAGACTGAAAATATTTTAAATCAAGAGCTGACACTGAGTAAAAGGTTTTGGCTTTGGATAGATTTGAAACATGATTAAATGAGAGTAAATAAAAGCCCCTGGTCAACCAAACCCTAATGGGAGGGAAATAAGAATACTATATAATAATTGAGCCTCAGTTTCAAAAACAAATTTTTCCATAATCAAGACAAATTGTAAGAATAGTACAAAGAGCACACGTGGCCTTTCCTATAAAAATACAAACCACCTCTGGCCGGTTTGGCTCAGTGGTTAGAGCGTCGACCTGCAGTCCAGAGAGACCCGGGTTCGGTTCCCGCTAAGGGCATGTACCTCAGTTGCAGTTTGTCCCCAGCCCTGGTTGGGTCGTGCAGGTGGCAGCCACTCGATGTGTCCCTTTGCGTCGATGTTTCCTCTCTCTTCCTCTTTCTCCCTCCCACTCTATCTGAACAAAATATGGAAAAATGTCCTCGGGTGAGAATAAAATAAAAATACAAACCAAAAAAAAGTCACTTGCTTTACAAAACCATTAATGTCAAATTTTTGACATATTTATCAAAAGTTTAATACCCAAGTTTCTCTTTGAAAACTGGGTTAAGCCCTGGTCAGTGTGTTCAGTGGTTAGAGTATTGGCCCCAGCCTGGATGGGGCATGTGCAGGAGGCAACCAATCAATATGTCTCTGTCACATTGATGTCTCTCTCTTTTTCTCTGCCTCTCTTCCTCCCTCTCTCTCTTCCCTCTATTCTCT